AATAAGCTGACGAAGAAGCAAACAAATTCAAGCACATTGTTGCATTCTACCGTACATTTTAAAAGCTTTAAAATCTTAAAACATATGTGAAAAACTTTTATAATCTGAATATTTCTAATGTCGCAATCAAAACCAAATTTTATAAATAGCATTTTTAAAAAGCAATCATCTAATATTTTTCAAGTTTTTGGGCATATATGTTACCATTTGAACAACAAATACTACCAAGTTTTAAGAGACTATTTAATGCAACTCAGGTCAAAAAAGCGCACTTTAGACCAAAATAAGCAACTCTAAAAAACAGATGATCGCAGCTGTGGCCCAGGATGACGTCTATTGCTAAGATATCTCACTTGTATTTGTACACAATGTTGTGATGTGTACGACTCCCTCTACCCCCTCATAAAGCCATTTTGTTCAAAGCGTGGTGCACTCTCGCGAAGTTTCCCCTTTATAAATTACTTTGTAAATTTGATTATCACCCCTATTTTGCAACTCTTATCGAAAAACTTGGGTCCGGTTTAGTTATTTGTGCAATGATTTTCGGTTGTTGCGTCCAAACGCAGAATCCGAGTCCAAAAACTTTAACATCATGTGTAATCAAAGGTTTAAAATTTTATTTAAAATAAATGTTTCAAATTTCCGAGCACTATCTTATCAATAAATTCAGTTGGCACTATGCACTTTTTTGCAAATTACGACGTGGGTTCTGCGCAAAAATACTGTAGATGGCGTAGAGGTGTTGTATACCTTTGACATGCGGAAGCCCCTCTTCTCCGGCAACACAGAAAGGAGAATTCTACTTAGAAGGGTTTATAATCCCTAAGCGCGGCCGAAGGCAGAAGCAAGTGCAACAGGTGGTGGACCTAACAAAGTGCATGTCTTCAATGGCTTGGAAGAAGCTGTTATTGCATTAACTGGATTGAGAACCAGTTCTTCAGGCATAGGAGTAGTTCTGGCTTGTGGTTCAACAATTCAACAAGAAGCTGACATAGACGCGCCCATGGTTACTATGCCCGACAGCTCCGCATATCTTTGTGAAATCATTCCCATAGCGCGCTCTTACTCCGCTGATATAATTGCAAATGCAATAGAATCCACCGTTTCCTTCAAAATATGTTAAATCAAACAATTTTACTATAAATAAGCCCTTCATTAGTGTTTTTTTAAATCCCTTTGTTTTCCTTTATTCAGCTATCTTCGAAAAACAACTGATAGCTGGCAATGCTGCACATGTTTCCGCAACGGATGCAGCATGCGGATTTTACGAAAATTCGGGTTCTAGAATAAGGGGGTATATAAATTTGTTTAAAAGCTTCTTATAATAATAAAGTAAACTTATTAATTTATGCGTCTGAATTATATATACTTATATATATATGCTTGCATCCACTTGAATAGCGACAGGCAAAATCTGAATTTATTTTTTATATGGAGAAATTAAATTCGGATTTTGTTTGCCCCTTTTGAAGTGCAAAGAAGAGATATTGGCTATAATAATTTATTTCTAATACTACAAAACAAACAAAACAAAAGATATTCGTTTAAAATGACAACTCATACTTATAAAAATTCGACTGAGATCAAATACGGAGGCACATATCAAAATTCGGATAAAGGAAATTATTAACATTTTACCATATTATAAGAAAACGAATAAAGTACTGGTCAAAATAATAGCACCACACTTTTTTTTAGCAGTTTTGACTATTTTTTTGTTTGTTTAGTGTCTACTAATTTTTAATAAAAGTTGTACAAAACATAAAAAACTACAAAATCATTATAATTTCAAGCTTTTTAATTCGAATTTCTGTAAAAATTTTGTGTAAGCAGTTTTATAGCTTATTAAATTTTACTATAACTCAGTGTAAGCTTATAGTTGCTAAAAATTCCAATAACTAACACATTTTTTTGCCGACTGTATTGGTAATTTTCTTGGATAGAAAAAAATTAATTTAATGTTAAGGGCCGTTTGCACCATGTCTAGTTAACGCTAACTG